TTTTTGCTTCGTTTTCAATATATTTTTATGATTTTTTATTTCGAAAATACGCGATTTTGATTGGTTATCACCTCTTCGGAGATTTTCGTAATTCGTGTAACGAGGTCGGTCGCCCCTGTAAATATAGATATGGACAGGGGCTAGAAACATCCTGTTAAAATTCTGTCTGAGTCGATCTTCTGGACTTTGACATTTGAGGCTTGAACCTGGTCGAAGAATGTATTATCTGTTATCCAAGGATCGATCGTTGAATACGATGTTTGTTTACCAATGTTTATCGTCGATTACTAACGTTGGATTTAACTTTATAAAAATGCAAACAAACAGTACATTCAGCAAGAACTCATATTAGATTCAATGTAAACACGATAGTTTTTTTATTAAATGTAAAAGCACAGTTGTAATTTTAATGAGTTAGACAAATAAATAGATAATAAACATATATTATAAAAGAAAGGTTTTTCGAATTTGATGAAATGAAAGATGTTTTGCGAAAAATTATGTTAAATTACAGTAAATGGATAAAAAAAAAGAGAGAGGGGAGATTATAGTATAAAATATGTGTAACTGTAGAAATGTAGGTGACAATATATATTTATAACAATAAAATGAATATGAGAAAAATGTTAATGAAAGTGAAAACCCGTGCTTTTTTATAGATCAAGACACAGATTGAATTGAGAATGCTTAAAATATGCATAATATGTATATAAACTACATCAATGTACATACGAATGCTCTTTGTTTTGAATATGTAAAATCTATGTATAATCTATATATGTGCATATATGAATGCAAATGCTAAAATGAATTACAATATACAATACGGGTTTTCGGATAAAGTGGGAATTCATGATAACTTTAGATGAAATGTTGATGATGCAATATATATATATAAAGATTGTTATATGTGTTTTGATAACCACGGAACTTAAAATTTTCTTCGAGCTTAGATTCATACCATACGAGAAGCATTATCTGAACGAATGACGGCTGGAGAAAGTACTTGGATAGCAATCACGTTTCCGTTGTTCGATCTCATGCGAGAACGAGTATCGTGATCGTTAGAGTTTCCAAGGCCGAGGGAATTAAGTATCCGTGAGAAAATGGAAGAATTAGAATTTGATCTACTATGGCGTCTACTGTGTCTACTGTGTCTGCTGTGTCTACTGGATGTGTCATAAATCGAATCAAGATTTGAGTGAATTTGTAAAGCTTGTGCAAATCTTTTTTCTCTTTTATCAATTACATCTTGTGGTGCAGCATCCTGTTTACAAAGAGGGCATAGTGATGACTTTGTCGTAAGCCAACGATCTACAAAGATAAAAAAAAAAAAGTTAATATAAATATATTTCTTCGTAGAAATTTATTTTAAATTACTAAGAAAAAAATTATACATACCGATACATTCAAGATGATATGTGTGAGAGCACTTTGGTAGTTGCCTCAAATTTTCACCATCACGGAATTCATCCAAACAAATAGCGCATACATCATTGGAATAATCATCATTTTTATTACTGGCATCTTTTGATGACGAAGCAATAGAAGAGCCAACAGATGTAAAGGGGTCATCGGATTGATTGGTATTATCTTGTTTTCGAAATTTTTTAGTAGGAAAGGTTTTAACAATAGATTTTTCCAATGTAAATATTTGTAATTTAGAATTAATATTAGCTTCTTGCTGTGCAATTATCATGTTACGCTCACGACGTCTTAGTTGATATAAACGGCAGTGAATCAAAACTAAAAATTTAAAAACAATAGGAAATACCGTTAATATCTTATATTTAATAACAAGGTTTAAAATATATATATATATATATACTTACTTGAAAGCAAGAATGAAACTGCTAGCAATGCACCAATTACAATGATAGCAATTTTCCAAGCGCTAGCATAATTATTTTGTGAAGGAATGATTACTACATGAACTAATTCTGATCCAGAACTTTGATTTATAGTATCATTTATGGTAGTTAATAGTTTATTTCCCATACTAAGGTTGATTCCTAATACTAAAATAGTAGGCGAATCTTTTTCTAAGGAATTATCACTTTCACCACCAAAAATAATTGCTCCAATAGCGCCACAATTCTGTACAGAAATGACTTGTTGTTTAATTGGACAATTGGAGCTTAAATTTATTACTGCTATCCTTGAGTTGTTAAGAACGTCCGAAATAACAGGTAAAGATTGTTGACAATTAGATGAGCATGGGTCTGAGACATTGTATAATATGCCCTAAAGAAAGTGTAATAAAAAAATTATTAGGTGAAGGTTTGAAAGATTTTGAAATTTTAAAGAATTACGAACCATAACATTATCTTCAAGGTCATAATTAGTTATTAATTGTAATCCTGAATTGTCACTGTTAAAATAAAATCCAGGTTTTGAACTTGAATTACTAATCTTAGTTGTATTTGCACTAATAAAGTCTTGGTATAACTTTACATCAGCTTGAACATTAGCGCAAAACAATGTGAGCAAGACAAGAATTAAAATTGCGGGCGTGATACGGATCATATGGGTCATATTTTTTTATAAAAAAAAAAAAAAACTTTCACGCTAAAAAATCTTATTGACGAAAATGATCTTAATTATAAATGAATGCGCACGCCAGCGTGAAATTTTTACAGATTAAACAAAGAGCTAAGTTAATCAATCTTTTTTATGAATGAAAGAAGGAACGTTTCTGGAAGTTTATAATATCAAAAATTATGGACCTGTTTTCTAATGTGTCTATTATCAAATTTGTATTAGATCCTACAAACTACCAAAAAATGTTCCCTCGATTCTTCAAAACCTGTCCGTTCCAATGACGCCTTTTAATAGCATTTAAAAGAAAGAAAAGTGATCTGTCGCTTTCGTTCTATAATAACGAATTCTGGCAGGTACACAAGATCCCTTGTTATCAATCGGTGACACCCATTATGGAACAGATTAGCACCTTTGTTTACTGAATTAAAACGATCCAGAGAAGTATGGAATACATTGCATAACAAAGACATAGCAAACACAAAGAATAATCGTCAAATTAACTGGGTCAGGAACGAGTATAACTCAAGATATCGTAATACCAGATTACGAATATTCAATAATTAAATAAAATTCATGGATTTTGGCGTTTTTTGTTTTATAGTAATTTATGTAGCGATATGCAATCATTGTTTAAATCACGAGACATATACAATGTAAACTTATGTATATTAATACACAAAATAACGTTAAATTTTTTTAACTTGATTACGCTGAAACAGATGATCCCATTCATAATCAAACACAGAGAATCCAATTAATAATAAAAAAAAAAAAGTCACATATTTACAGAGAACCTATCAAAGTTTCAATCATTTGCTTATCCACATTTTCAGCCTTAGCTTGGTCATTATCGCCCATGTTTTTATAGTATTCTGTGACACAAAGAAGGTTAACATATTACAACATCCAAATTTAGAATACAAGGATTTTATTCCTAAAAAGGAGAATAAAACCGAAGTACCCTATAACACCGACAAATTTTCACATTTATTGACCAATCAAATACCAGATCAGATAAAATTATGGTTTGTTTTTTCTTCTAAACTACCTTCCATGTTCTAAAAAAAAAAAAATAAAATTGATACATGCTACAAGTTACGCCTTTTAACTTGAATCTAATGTAAAGTGTCACTACTATATCTGATTGCTTCGATGGTCCATCGATGTGGATTAGTGAAAATTTGTCGGTGCTACTTTAGTAGTAAAAACAAGGGTTAGGAAAATAAGGAAATCAGTCCTACCTTCCAATACGGTTTTCACATTTGACATGCTCCGTCCGGTACGATTCAAGAGGATCGTTACATGTTCTTTAATCTAATGTCAAAAAAAAAAAAAAAAGTTCATTGTTTCGTAAGCATTTTAATGCATGATACATACATAATACTATCACATTGACAATTATTATCTCAGTTTCTAAAACTAGTATTAGGTGATTGTATTCTTTTTTAATACTAAACTAACCATGGGCTCCTCGTAGCAAATCCATGCGATCGTGAGATCAACAAGCTGTAAAGTAAATAATCCTGCATTTAATCTTTTCAAATATATTTCGTCTAACATCTCATCATCAATCTCATCATCATCTAATTCCTTAACAATGACATATACATATTCGCAGAACAATAAGTTCAAACAATATTAAAAATATACACAAAGACAACAAAGAAAGTAATAAACCTACCTCTTTCTCTTCTTCAATTTCCTTATCAACCGTTGAAACTTTGAGTTCATAGGTTTCCCTCATTTCAAGTAGCCTATCAACTTTCTCAAGATCATTTTCAAGAAATTTGTTAAATAACCTTAATCGGTGTTCGCTGTTTTGTGGTAGGCTTTTTAATAGTGATACTATTATCCCAATTATATGTTCTAAAAGAGTACAAACGTAAATCTTTTAATTACACTTTGAAAGCACAATAATTTGTACCACAATAACAATAGTACCTTCTTCTTCAGCTTCCGAAAAAGATTTGTAACTTTTTTTGAATTTTTTTAAGCCCTGTTCAATTTTAGTTTCATCTTAATGATATAAATATTTTCGCTTAAAAAAGGCAATTTGTCGAACATTACCTTACGCATAAAATTAGAAAAGAGTGTTTTTAATCCAAATATATCTACGAATCGTTCACAACAAATAGTTCCCTCTGGAGTAGACAATGCATAATCCAATACTTTAATAGAACGCATTCTCGACATCATTTTTTCCCTGAATATTGAGACGATAATTGGTTGTCATTTTCTTGTGATCATAAGTGCAATCTTAGAAATCATTAATACTTACTTCATCATAATTAGCATTAACTCTACCCCTTCACCCTCGAGAAACAATCTTTTAATTTCAGGCTCTGCTAATGCTGAACATAATGCGTCAAAAAAATTTTCCATCATCTCAGTCTCATCTGCATCTTTAGGATCTTTTCGTTTATAGGCCTAATAATTTTAAAAAATATTACTTAGAATCCAATAATTAAGTACAATATTTAAGGTAATGAATTATTGGAACTTACGTTTAAAACTTGTAATAGTGTATCTACACCACCTAATTCTCCTAATTTTAACCTATTTTCTGTGTAATATAAATAAAGCATGTAGTAAAGTGTTGAGAAATAATGATTACAGGAAAAATTTATTGCATACCTCGACTACTTTGTAATAAGATTGCCAATATTTCACTACAATACTGTCTATTAGAATCAAATGTCCTGACTTTGATTCGCGTCAGTATCCATTGTAATATATTGGTGTCTTTTACGAGCTTTTCTGATAATGAAGGGTCAAATGACGTAAAATTCTCAATTACACCTAATTCGATATACGTATTTTTAGTATTATAATTATTTGCTAGCAATAATAGAACAGGTGATATTAATCGAAAATAGCGCATACCAAGTGTATTGAAAATGCCTTGTTTATCATTTGCTTCTTCCTCGTTTAATCTACTAAGATTTTGAATAAGAAGCTCCAAAACTTGGTTTTCAAGCTTTAATAGGATGAAAGCGAATACGTATGTGTATATATATTTGCTTAATAGATATTCATATAAACGCAATAAATCTAATACATAATATTTTGATTAGAGTTTTATATTACCAAAGAGTCAATGAAAACTTTCATGGCATCTTCATCATGTTCTGTAGCTACGTCCTCATCTGTCAATTCATTTAATAATTCTACGACATCTATAGCAATGTCTGTATTCTCATGGCTTAAAAGTGAAACAATAGATGGAATGGCGCCCATTTGAACAACTTGAGAATATAAGTCCGGTACTTCGGTAAGTGTCAATAGATGTTTGATCCCTTCATCAAGATCTGCTTCGGATTCCATGAATCTGTAATGTTGTTGTTATAAGAATTGTGAGTTAAATCCGACAAGTACACTATATTTATTCTCAAATAACATGTCATAAAAGAAGTATCATTTACTTTGTTGGATCATCAGGGAATTTGACGCGAAGTTCTTGATTCTTGGTTATAGCTTTTTCAAGTTTAAGAAGCATTTTACGAACTCCTGCGACATCTAAAGCTTCTGGCTTGGGAATTAAATTATAGAAACAATATTTTCGACGTTAATTAAGAAAATCCCTTGGATAAAGCAACAATCATTTTATTTTAAACAAACGCGAAGTAACGCGGCCCACCTCTTCAACATCAACTTGATCGACCAAGTCCAAAATACGTTTTTGTTCTTCAGTAAGTCCACCACCATAAAATCGACCCTCCTCCTCTTCTTCTTCTTCTAGCCTTTCATTTTCTTCATAATCGTCTATATAATATTCTTTTTCCTCGACTTCGTCCGATATTCGAACAACTTTCTTTTTCGAACTACTGCCACTTTCTACGAAAGGTCCATCCTCCTGCTCTTCGTTATGTAAGCGTACTGTTTTTAATACTTCTATACTAGGGTTGGCAGTAAGTTTTCGCTTGTTCTTTCCGCTGGGTATTTTATTCGAAGGAATGTTAAAAATTTTATCGACATTCATTTCTGAACAAAGTTACTATCGGAGACTATGATCTCCAATAAACGTAAACTTCGTAATCATGTGATCTTTATTTGATTGGGTAAAAAATAACTGACCAATCATAAATCAGATCCATAATTACGACGTATAAATTCATTCGAGGAACACAAAGTTCTATTTCATTTAGCGTTAAAGGCAAGGTTTTAAAGAAGCTCAAACTTATTGAGACGGTAACCATGGCGACCAAAGTTCAAAAGATCATGGTCCAACCCATAGTAAGCAATTTTTTATTATTACATGTTAATCACACCTTCGGAGTTTTCTTTAACAATCCGTTTTTTAGAATTTGATCTTAATTTTTTTATAAACACTTTTTCAGAACTTGATCTTCAAATATCTTCAAAATGTAAGTGTAAAGGCTTTGTAACGCATGTCATGTAGTTGCAGCATCCTTTGTAGACCTAGCATATAATCAAATATCTTTGAAATATTATTGATAACTAATTTTACTTGCATATTTCAGAAAACACGGGTACAAATTTGGTTGTACGAGCAAGTAGATTTGCGGATTGAAGGCCAAATAATTGTAAGTAACCCTTTGATACTGTCGACCATTATATTTTAATGCATTACTAATTTATTAATTATTTAGGGATTCGACGAATTCATGAACTTAGTGCTTGACAACGCTGAAGAAATAAATACAAAGAAAAAAACACGAAAATCATTGGGTTGATAATTCATATAATTCATATAACATTATTGTTAATTTTATTTTAACTTTAAAAAAAAATTATTTTCGATTAAATCTGTTAGGTAATACCATAACTAATCATTATTGCTATAAATTTATCATTACATTATAATTTAGGTCGAATCTTATTAAAAGGAGATAATATCACCCTTATCCAAAGCGTTGGTGGATGAAATTTTTTAGATGTAACGTCATGTTTGGTTATACCAGTCGAATATGGTCTGCCATACTTTATAGAATAATAAAATTTTCCTCTTTGTATGTGTTAACTGTTGGTGATCCTGGTTGATAATTAAGAAAATTAGCTAAGACTTACCCGTCTGTTTTTTAAAATCAGCCGATCGATTTTAAATTCAAATGTATTCTTTTTTACATAACGAAACTGTTTTAAAAGTCGAATCCGAGTCTTAGAATTGATGCAAAAATTCGAAATTATTTCTTAATTTGTAGCTCTTGGTATACACGAATAAAAACAAATATTTCGCCAAATATTTCGCCTTTAGTTGCACTACTTGGCCTGCTGGTTGTTTCTTTGATACAGTGAATACACTCTTATTGCACACTGCCCGAAATAGTATACTTAGAAAATGTTGCACTTAGAGAATTTGTAGAATTTTTACATGCACCTCTTCTCCAAAGCCGTAATTATACACGTACGAATAATATACTTAGACATATCTAACACGAAATTTTTTTTTTTTACAGAAGCTTTATAACATCATTAAATGATTTAATCGTCTATTGATCCTATTTTTATTGTGCTTTTTAACGATTTCATTTTAAATTTATTAGACCTTTCTAATGAGTTATTTTTATAAAGCCTGGTTTCATAATTATATATTTTGATATATTTAAGGATCTATTTTTTCTAAACTTTATTTTGCTAAAAAATTGAAATTTACAGAATTTTTTGTTATAAATATTATCATTATATTATATACTGTATAGTATTTTTTATATTTGTTATAAATATTATTTAGTGCATATTTTTTATAGTATTTTTTTTAAATTAATATTATATAAATAAAATGTAGTTATATTATTAATTTGCTACTATAAGGCCATGCAAACTTAATAATTCGGTTTTCATAACATAAAATTTTTAAAAGTGACCCGGCAACCCGGCTTTTAATTTTATTTTCAAAAAATTTTATATATAAAAAACATATAAAATTTTTTATAGATTTTTTAAAAAAACTCACCCGGATAATAAATATACTTAAAAATTTTTTAAAAAAATTTGTAAGTTTTGACCCGGCCGGGTTATGAAAACCGAATCATTAAGTTTGTATGGCCTAATTAGAACTAATTTTATAATTAATTCTAATTAAAAATTATAATTAATTCTAGTCAAAATTTATAATTAATTCTGATTAAATTGTAACTAATTTTAATAAATAATTATAATTAGTTCTAATTAAATAATTATAACTTATTCTAATTAAAAATTATAATTAATTCTAATTAAAATTATAATTAATTCTAATTAAAAATGATAATTAATTCTAATTAAAAATAATAATTAATTCTAATTAAAAATTATAATTAATTCTAATTAAATTATATCTTATTCTAATTATAAATTATAACTAATTCTAATAAAAATTATAACTAATTCTAATAAAAATTACAACTAATTCTAATTAATAATTATAATTAGTTCTAATAAATAATTATAACTAATTCTATTAAAATTAAACTAATTTTAATTTATTAGAATTAAATATATTTATTTATTAGAATTAGTTATAACTTTTAATAAGAATTACTTAAATTTTTATTAAAATTAAATCAATTGGTTAATTAGAATAAAATTAGTAAGAGTATTCTCTCTTAAAGTAAAAATTAGAATTGAATCAGTTAAATAATTAGAATAGAATTAGTAAGGATATACCTGAATCTCCCGGTTTTTATTAAAAATTTATATACCTAGCATGAATTTCATTCAAATACATTTGGCCAAATTTGGCGCATTTGATGAGAAGTGGCTTGAGCACCATAACAGAAACTAAGATAATTCCGATATTAACTAACCTTACCTGCCACATTAGCGATATGTATGTATCAAAATTTTTTACAATAAATTATAATTGAAATCACGATAATTATAATTTAAACTAACCCAATCTTAACCTCATACTGTACGTACTGCAATAGTTGTGGAGAAAGGGCACTTATGTGATAGAATATTAGTTGCGGGGGATACTTTATACAGTGCTATATAGTAAGTTCTGTAATATGTATTATTGTTATGGTAACTCGTTAATAGGATTAAAAAAATACTATATAAGATTGGTGGCGCGAATGCGTCACCATCGCAATAGTATTATTATAAAGAAAATAGTTTAATCTATATATTATAAAGTTTAATATAAATTAATTACTAGTAATGATTTTTATTTTTTTATACAAATCTTAATTGTACTTATTAAAATCGTATAACACATAAATTACATAACCTCTATCCTTAAATACAGCAGTAAACATACTTCATACCATTTTGACATGAAATAATACCCATAGACATTATTTAGAGAAATAGCCCGAATTAAGCTTAATTTTGGCCAAAATTTAAAATAGTGCCCCTGTGCATTATTTTGCAACAATATGGTAATAAAAAATAATCAAAAGTCTTCAAATGCCTTCTATAATATTTCAAAGTCAAATATTTTATTTGGTTAAAGATAAGTCTAGTCATTTGAGTAATCACAAGTCATGGATCAAATTAAGAATCCATATTTTGCATTATTGAGAGCATTTCAATTAGTTACACACGCCAATCCAATCATAGGCTAGATAATTGCAAAGATGGCAAGCTTATTGTTACAATCAAAAATTCATTCGTTTGTCGTATTTTTAACAAAAATCAGATAAAAAAAAAATCAAAAATGCGAAGATCCAGAAATTTATCCATAAATAAACCTATAATGATTCCCAAAATTTTCCTTGTGTTTTTTTTTTTTTTTAAAAAAAAAAAAGAAATATACAGTGGTTTATTTTTAGCAAAACCATTATTATTAATCAGTTCAAGAAAATTTGATACGAAAAAAAAAAGAAATACCTATAACAGATAATTTTCCCACTTCCATCTAATACTTTAAAGTTGGCGCTCTTACCTTCCATAACTGTACTATAATAGCCATGTTAATCTTACTTTTAGTATTAGGCATTATCATATTTTGGGCTATATAGTTTGATTAGCGTGATTATAGTAGACCTGTATATTCTCAGTTTAGGGATCGTTTGAAGCGAGGCAATAATTGATATGCGTCACGCAATTTTTAATTTACAAATTTGTCAGTACAGTAATCAATTTAAAAACTACTTGGCTTTAGACCTCCAAGTTTAGGACAGGAGCATAACATAACGAATTTTTTACTTGGCCGATGAAATGAATAATCAAAGACTGAAACGATAAATTATCATTATACGTACTACCTAAAATGCTTGTTATGAAGTTCCAAAAAAAAAAAAAAAAGCAGAATACACTAGGCAGGTTTTTAATTTCGAATTAGTGACATATTTGTTTTCTATTTTTTTTTTTTTTTTAGATGATAAAATATCATCAGAAAATGCACCTATTTCGTTTTCTAATTTCGGAACTTCGTCATTTATTGATTTAGAAATTAATAAATAACAATATAAATTTTTATATAATAAAAAGAATTCATTAAGCTAATCAAAGTCCCCTTGCATGTATTTCCCCTGTACATATTTTTATAACAATAATAAAAAAGAAATCAATTCCGTTCATTCATTGACAATCACTTCATTGGCAACTTATTTCACAGACAATTAATTTACAGACAAATTTATTTTACCAACGATTAGTCCGCAGACTTGTCAGTAAAACGAGCTATCAGTGAAATAAACTGTCAGTGAAATGAACTGGTCTGCGAATTAATCGTCAGTAAATACGCTTGTCTGTAAATTAATAGTCTTTGAACTAAATTGTTGAAGTGATTATCAGTGTAATAGTATGGAATCTTATTTGTTTTATAATAAAAATAATCATCTCTAATCAAACCCCTCTGTACATATTTGTTTTATACAATAAAAAAAACATTATTCCTAATAAAGCCTTCGCACATTGGGCAAATATTAAGGCTTAACGTTAATGCACGTACAACCGAACATATGCTAAATTTACCGTTACAGCGTTGAGATTTGGCGCTGACGATAAATTATTAGCTCAGACTCTCTAATTATAACGTAAGCTCTCTGTAAATTCAAATATATATAAGTGTGGTTCTCATTCTCGGTTGAGCATAATGTACTCTACCCTAAAATAGAGATTGCAATCTTTTTATTATATCTAATTCCATAATTTATCATCAAGTTCATGTGGCCTTCTAATGTCAACCATCAGAGCTAAACTCGGTATAACAGTACAAAGCTCTCCCTTACAGTGGTTACGCCAAAAACTAGAAGCAAGTTGTGTATTATACATACTATAAAAATGCTAAAAGTAAATTTTTGTATTACGAAGAATTGTTTTGGTGATTTTCCGAAAAGATTTACAAAACAAACAAAACTATTATATTTTAGAATTTCTATGCCCATGTTGCTAAAAATAACAATTTTGTATCAAATTTGTCAAAATGGAAGTATATTCCCTGTATCAAAAACCCTTAAACGTTTCGAGATAAAATTAATTATTGATGGAATTGATTCAGATATCGAAATCAAAGCACTATCGATTTAGCACTCTATTAAGTATGGATGAAGTACAAGAAGGTTCGTAACTAGTTTTTCTTAGTTTAATTACCATATTTTTTATAATGTACCAACTCTTTATGATAATAATACGCTTTATTATATATGAAAAACTTAATGCGTTGTTTTGTTGCGATCTATAAATTTTAGATATACAGTCGGACTTCCTTAAATGCAACTCGTTGGAACGAACCTTTGATAGCATGTATTTGGTGAACAATAAGAAAAACTACATTTATGGAAGTCAAAAATAAATATACTTAGGCTAGAGCTTAAGGTTGTATTTAGCGAGGTCTAGCTGTATCATGTTGATCGACTGGCACTTGTTCCCGGTTCCTGGTACGTACGTACATATCACTAACATTCTACAATACCGATGTAAAACCATTTTAATGAAACCATTTTGATCACAACATTTCTTAATTATACTTTTGAATATGGTATGGATGTAGGAAATTTTGTGAAATGATTCTCAGAGACTTTTCAGGGAATCGTATGTATCCTACAATGATATTATCGTTATCTGTACTTTCTGAAAACGTAAACAAAACACCAAAGAAGGTAATATCTTCAAAATTGTACGACTAATAAGAGAACGCCAGTAATTACTGCTTAGGGATAATAATCGGATATGTTTGAAATCAATTTATAAAATTTGCTCCTAATTTACATACGTAAGTAAGACTGATAATCTTGACTTCACCATTATCCTTTGTAAAAATGCATGCGAAAACTTTCAGCGGGTTTCTCCACCAGTCTGAAGTGAAATCCATTAAAATAGTTAGAATAACTTTTATGTGTATTTTATATGCCTTGGTACTTGCCTACATGACTTGGAAGCTATGGGAGCTAAGTAAATTGGATAAAATGTTAATTTATAAGCAAGAAACATATTTCAACATTCCAGCACCATGTAAAAAAAAAAAATTATTTGTTTTTTTTCCTTTTAATTTAAAAATTATACAGTATATTCTAATATTTTTACTTTATGCCAATAGACGTATATATTATTTCCTATTATAATTTCACCGTAGACTGTGTATATGGTTATGGAGGTAAATGTTAAATACTTTCAACCCTTTTCCACAATTTAATTTAACTAATCTCTAGTTCAACTTCTTAAGGATATATATATAGTGAAAGTAATCAGGATTGCACTCAAAAAATAACGAGAATATATAATAACTCGACATCTTCATTTCCTTTTATATCGATTTTTCGATCAAATTTAACTTTAACAAGTCACATAGATGAAGATGCACCTAGTGCTGATCTTCACATAAACCAAACAGGATCATTGAATATGACCTATATTTCTTTTAATATAAACCAAACAAACCAAACAAACCCCAGCACCACTTTATTTCAGTTATTTGATCCAGGTAGGTTATCAATGCCATTGCTTACAAGTCAATTGTTCTACTACTAAAGTAATACAATATTGATTATTATTTGTTTATTTTTTATTTATCTTATTTTATTTTATTTTTATAGAAACGGATGCAATAAAAAATAACAGGGATTTATTAAACTCGTTGTCTAAAGAATCTCAAGGTTTATTAGATGATTCTGAATATGCAAATACTTTTGTACTTGGGTCAGGGAACGTATGTAAAATTTAATTTATGCCGTGGTTAATATTGTTTATATATTATAATTTTCTAATTGTAAATCATTAAAATGTTTTTATATTATGCAGCTATACACTTTAAAATACATAAAACAAATCCGTGAAGTGCTTGTTAGTGTACCCAGTAGTATATTCTCTTTAAGTCCTAAATATGAACGAATACCATATATTACTTCAAATCTAGGTGAATATTAAATACAGTTAAAAGTAACTTATTCATATTTGAATCTAACTGCTTTTTTTTTTTCTGATTTAGCAACTGTCTATATGTCATATCTAGGAAATCAATCCATTCTTTCAGTAGGTTGTGCGTCAACTACAATTGAAACTGAAGAAGAAAGATTGTAATGCATATTATGAGATTAACCTGATTTCATTAATTTTTAAATTTCTTATGTTCAAATTTATCATTAATAAATTTTTTACATTCAAATACACTTACCCAGAATTTTAACTTTACTTGATGTTTTCGGGTTTGTTGGTGGCTTATTTACATTGGCCACTTCAATAAATATATTTCTATTTGGTAGGTATATTCTTTTATGTGACTTATAACAGAATTAAATACTAAAAAAAAAAAAAAATTTAAATAGGTGAAAATACTAAAAATCCATGGGGAATAGTGCAAACGCTTTCCTGCTGTGGTATTAAGAAAAGAGTTCAGAATATTCTCTACGAGCATTTGAAAGATCAGATTCCATTTGCTGATGAAGGTGCACATTTAGACTATCCTCCTGAAAAAATTGAAGATAGAATAAGTGCAATCGAACAACGACATAAAGCTTTAGAATTTCTTCTTCGAGATTATGTGGTTAATGTTAATATTCTTCGTGATAATGATATTGACAATAGATTTTATAAATTCAAAAATCAAACCTGATAAAGTATTAAAGCAATTAGGATTAAAGTAAACAAAATCAACAGAATATTTTTTCACCACATATATATTAGATTATTTCTTGCTTTTCACTTTGTCACATTTTTGCCTATTGAAATATTGTATTTTACGAATACTAGAAAAAATAGTGGTATTTTTAGGTTGAGCCTATTATCGTTAAATTTTATGATAAATGAAATATAGCAAATATTGATGTATTCATTTTTATATGCTAAGCGTATATATTGAATTTATATGAAAAACAATTATTTGTCTTAATTGTCTGGAGCGAAGCGACAGACTTATACTTCCACGCCCTTTGATGACCAAAATTACGTTTTTGATAATATTAAAAATGTAGTTTATTTTTCGGATGTAACCCCCTGAAAAATTTGATTTAGGACATACATAACAAGACTTTTCAGAGGCTGAAGCGAGTTCCAGACTTATACCGGTTTCCGGTTCCTAGTTTATTATTATTGTCATGACTAAAAATTGATTTGCAATGACGTCAAAAAATAATCATAGTAAAATCGATATTTTTGCATTTTTTTTTTATTGTGGTAACATTACGAACATTATGGGCAAACTAAGCTTAGCGTAGAGTGTAAATTTGGTAGAGAAATATAAATTGACTGGCCAGAGTTATCGAAAAGTTTCGGATATGGTTTTTTGAACCAATTTCTGGTCAAAAGTAACCTAATTCTGGGGATGTTAACAGTCCGATTTGGTCCAATACTGTCTATTTTTACCCAGTTCTGTCTGGTCTTTTTTTGTTTGATTACAGTTTGATTCTAAGACGATTTATAAGACTAAACCAATCTAAACTTTCGGTCTGAAAAACTGGTTTGAGATCGGTCATTATAATTAGAGTTTCTAATTACTGTATAAAGATCGGGTTTAAACAAGTCTTTTATTATGAATTCAAACTCAATGGACCAAACTTTCGTCCTGGGTTTATAATAAAAGACCGGTTTAAGACTGGTCTTTTATCATGAATTCAAACCTAATCGTTTAAACTTTCGGTCTGGATTTATAATAAAAGACTGGTATTTATCATGAATTCAAACCTAATGGTTTAAATTTTCGGTCTGCATCAATGTTTAAAATTACCTTGCACAAGATGCACATGCGCAGGTGGTTTTTTTTTTGTGCAAGATAAGTTCTAAATGTATATTTAAATATGGAGCTTGCGAAAAAAATGACGTGCAAGAGAAATTATAAAATTTCAATGCACAAAAATTTAGTCTAAATTTAATATGAGATAGTTAATGATGCTAATCCGAAAAGGGAAATGAATGAGCTTAAAATTCGAGTATAGAGAGGCTTTCATTATGATTAGTTAATTTTTGTAGATCATTTTGTGATGTACAAAATTTGATTGGCTAATAGAAAATAAGTTCAAATTAAAAAATTCATTAATAAAAAAATATTAAAATTATGAAATTTTATTCATAATGATAATATTTAATGTTTGGATCCCAATAGCTATTGTCAATTGTGCATCTGTAATTTTTTAAAAAAATAACATCTTTAACAATTTATTGACACAATTACATGTAGATAACCTTTATTGCAGTATTAACTAAATCGTTTACTTCACCTTAAATACTAAAAAAAAAAAAAAAAACTAAATTGCTTAACAAGTGTATATAACTAAATAATTTACCAAAATAATAATATAATAAATTATAGAGCCATCAATTATTAATAGGCAGAATATACGCTCATAAAAAGTAAATATTATATATAAAAAACCCAAAATTAACTTTAGAAGCATTGTGTATAATTGTACTATTTTATACAATTTTATATTTAATATACCATAACTCTTAAAACTTGATTGAATAATCTATACTCAAAAGAAATATTAAAAAAAAAACAACTATTAGCAATACTGTTTGAATCATTATTTGTAAATTAATGTTTTTAAAAAAATGGTAACACTTATTAGCCAAAGTGTAATTTATCACTAAATTGCTTTAGCCTATATGACAAAAGTACATCTATAGCTAACTTCTGAATTACTTCTCTGTTCTCTGAATTGTTTTTACCTTATATAATGTATAGTTTCTAAATATGCATTTAGTTTTATTTTACAATTTATTTTCATAACATACAATTCATTTAAAGTTAGATAATATTTGCAATATATAGTTAATTATTAACCAATTAGAATTAAAGCCCTTTATGCTCAAGTAATGTTTGGGTTGAATTTTGAGAAATATTTAAAATATTTTAAAATCAAACAAAAAATATAATATATATTTAGTATATTAATTTCTAATATTGAGATCTGTAGAATTTAAATAAAAAAATTTTAATTGAATTTGATTAATTGGTTGCTATAATATCTTTAATTAAAGTTAAAGTAAAGTTTAAACTTTAATCAATGATATATTAGTAGCTAATTAATCAAATTTAATAAAAATTTTTTATTCAAAAATTTTATAGTTCTTAGAACTTTAATAAAATTTTTTTTTGAATTTAGCTAATTGGTTGCTATGATATCTTTTATCAAAGTTTGAGTAAAGTTTTAAAATATGTATTATAAAAGCTATGCTAAAATCGGTTAGAAAACTTTGATTAAAGATATCTTAGCAACTAATTAATCAAATTCAATAAAATTTTTTTTTATTCAAATACTGTAGTTCTGTAAAATTCGAATAAAAAAATTTTATCAAATTTAATCAATTGGTTACTGAGATATCTTTAATCAAATTTGAATAAAGTAAAATATAATATAAAAGTTATATTAAAATTGGTTACAAAAATTTAATTAAAGATATCTTAGCAACTAATTGATTAAATTTAATAAATTTATTTTATTTGAATTCTGTAGATCTATAAAATTCAAATAAAAAAAAAATAGATTAAATTTAATTAATTGGTTGTCAAGATAACTTCAATCAAAGTATTATAAACAATTTTAGTACAGTTTTTATATAATACATATTTTAAAACTTTTCTCAAGCATTGATCAAAAATATCTTAACAACCAATTAATCAAATTTAATAAAAATTAGTTTATTCAAATTTTGTAGTTCTATAGAATTTGAATAAAAAAATTTTTATTGGATTTGATCAATTAATTGTCAAGATATCTTTAATCAAAGTTTTGTTAATAATTTTGATATAGCTTTTATAATATATATTAAAAATTTTACTTAAACTTTAATTAAAAATATCTTGATAACTAATTGAACAAATTTAATAAAAAGTTTTTTATTTAAATTCTACAGAACTATATAATTTGAATAAAATATTTTAATCAAATTTAATTGATTGTTTGCCAGGATATTTTCAATTAAATTTAAAATTTTTAAAATAATTATATGATATTTTAAAATAAAAAAAATTTATATAGTAGCAAAATTCTTGACATAATTAGCAATTCTTTTTATACATTAATTCGTGATCCGCATAAGAACCAGTGAAATTAATTAGTAAATTATGGATATATTTACTATTAAATTTTGCCTTTTTTGGAATCTGGAGTTTCCCAAGGAAAACGGTTTTCTTTACTAAATAAACATCTTTTCAAGCTCTAAGTAAAGTTGTAGAGAAGTGTCTTGCGATCAAAATAATGATTAAAACATTAAAATC